ATTTGAGTATTGCTTAGTACCTTTCTGGTATAATTTTAATGTAATAAGTGGTAGGGTTTCTTCCATATATCATTGGATGTATTGTTGTAATACTCTTAAAGTATTTCTTGGTCATATTGTATATAGTCTGATTCCAGGCTAGATCTAGACAGCACTTACTGTATTATCTTTGGAGCAAAAAGTAATTACTGCATGCTAAAATCACAGACTGGTTGAACGTGAGAAGCTGGGGAAAATGGAAAACATTCTCAGATTTCATTGAGCAGGACTATCCCGTATTTTCTTCTGTTTCTTCAATATGTTTAAAAATGTGGAGGCTGTAATGTGTCTATATATTGAAACCTAAGCTAAATTGACCCAAAGTCATGAAACTACATCAGAACATAGGATGATTCAAAGAAAACGAATCCTGTTGAAGATTATCTGTATTTTGGAAAGAATCTGTCTCTGTGCCACACCAGCCTGGAAGGTAAGCAGAGCCAGCTCGTGTCTGCTCTCTAAATCCTGTGACCAGTTTGGGCTAGAACCAGACCTTCTGAGGAACAATGCTTTCTTCTCTTTGTAAGAGCTACTTTTTTTCTGTAAAATTGAATTTATTAGAGTCCCATTTTATGTATTGAACAAAGATAGCATAAAGATAAATGGAGGTGATATTTGCGTTTGGCTGCAAAGTCAAATCAAGGGTGGGGTTTAAATACAGAATTCTTTACATTGAAGTCTTACTATCTTCTTCTGCCTTGTTTTTTATTCATGTCCATTATGAGATCAGGTGTAATTGCAGATTTCTACCCATATGTAGGTGAGTTCTAGGAAATAGAGCTATTTTGGGTTGAGGTGTGACCTGAAACGAAACCAGGCAAGCCAAGTCCAGATTTCAGAACTTTAGTGGAACTAGAGATGTGTGCAATGTGAAGATGGAGATTCATGCAAGTTTATCTGAATTTGGGTTTTTTGTTGTAAAAAAAAAAAAATTGGAAACCAGTACTGAAAAACAAAACATTTGTAAGCTCATTATTCTTACCTGTGGAATACAAAATATCAGACTGTGCAAGTCTCACTTATGTTCCGGAGCACATCAGTGTTAATTTGGTTAAATATGTTGAGAAATTGGATGCTTGGTTGATATACTGCTTATGTACAGTACACAAGCAATTACATGTACTGTCTAAGTATTGCATACCAATATTTTTAGCCACTTGAATGCTCCACCATGAAATATCTGGAAGCACATTTTAGCACATTACAAAGAGAAATGTGTTTTCAGACTGCTACCCTGTTGGCTGTATTTGCATTAATTGCAAAGGTGAAAATGTTTGTTACTGTACGGGCTTTGCAGGCGTTACATGTACTTTTGCTACTAGAGTTCAATGATTTTGTCTTGTGTAAGTTTTTTGTTTGATTTGTCACTCTTGCTTTCAATATTTGCAACAGGGATTTCCTTTGTTATGCTATAGACTTTACTAGACTTTCCTGTCTAAGAGTGGGAATTGTCTTCTGTCAAAAGACAGATATGCTTTTCAAGTTTGTTCTGGCTTAATTCCTTATTTTATATATTTATTTATGTTCACTGTTTTTCCACATGATTTAATGCTGGCAATAGATTTTTTTCCTCCTTGTTTTTTCTGTCCTCCTGCCATGGGACTGTTGATTCAGCTGTGTGAGCCTGAAGGATTATACATTTTAGGGAGTTGTCAATAAATGGAGTTTAGGTGGTGTTGAATAGCACTGTTTCCTTTTCTACTAAAAGACAAACAGAATATCTTCAAATGCCCTTGTGTGTTAGGCTGTACCTCATGCATCTTTGTGGCAGTGATTGGAATGTGAATGTTAGTGGTTTTTAAGCAGTTAGGGGAGATATAAAGTATGTAGGACTAGCACTGGTGTCTCATACCAAATGCTCCATGAAGGAAAATGGAATGCCAAGTTCATGAGAGCACATTTTTTGCCTATTTGATTTAGTTCTTTGAGTTTGCTGTTGCTGATCTTAGGTTGCTTTTATAGTAACTTAGTGCAAAATACGAGTTAGTTTCCATTATCTCTCCTTATTTAGTCTTCTGTCTCAATATTCTCAACAGATTGGAATCTGTGCTTAATATATTTTAGAGTTTGTCTATATCTTACTGGTGTTATTATAATGAAGCATTAAAATGACCTCTAGAGTATGCATATTTTTGTATTTTGACACATATGTCCTAAGCATTGTTCTGATGTAGGCAGATGAGCTTTGGTATTAGTAGTCCTCCAGGGTATCTGCAGCTGAATCAGTGGTATTCTCTGCAGCAGCTGTTATCTGAATTAAATGTGTCAGCTGTACAAATGTAAAGAGCAGAAGTAAAACATAATTTAGTTGTTCAGAAACATGAGTATTTGTGGCCACAACAGAGTACACATGTCATAGTTTTGTGTAAATGTGAAGAATTGCTCTGGGAAAAATGGAGGATAGATGAGGGCTGTTGCCATGCGGGTGCCTAATTAATCAACCCAGGGAGTCCATTCAAATTTTAGAAGTTTAAAATTCTACCAAGCTCCAGTAGAACATATTGTTTTCCCTCTAGTTAAAACAATTTTCTTGTAAGTGCAGAAAAAAAACAACAAACCCAACCAGATTATTCTAGTATTCCCATTCTGGGAATTTTAGGGCCATGTGTAGCATGACTAACTGTGGCCAGAGAAATCCGTGACATGTGGGTGAAACTCTTATAGCATTTATACTTTCAGTATCCATTATTCTCAAGCAGGGCCAGAAAATAAAATAAAGGGGCAAAATTATCATGCTGCATTCCTGTTCACCTGCCAGGGAAGTGCTTTTAAACACCATAAACTGATCAAGGTTTTCTCTTTAAAGAATGATTCAGAGTTTTTTTTTCTGTCTTCCCCTCAGTCTTAGCAGTTGAGTCTAAAGTCCATTAACAGTGGAGCTAGTCCAACCATTGGATTGTGATTCTTTTACTCTGCAATCACACACAGATTCATAGATAACTTTGTGTTTTATAAACCTACTTTGCTGCTGACAGGAATTTGAACAATTTCTAATCTCACTGAAAAAACAATCAAGAAGTTTGCTCTAGTGTTACAATTTCATAACACGAAAAATCCAAACAAATCAGTTTTAAAGCTAATTATGAAGCAGTTTCTTGTGTTCCTGTTAATATTGTTACTTTGTTTATTCTCTAAACTCTTTAAAGCAAGGAAGCATAACTAAAGGATGTCAAAGTATCTCTCCATTAGTAATGCTCTGTTGGTTAGCCGGGAGTGTGTTTTGTCCAAGCAGCACAACGCAATCAATACCCTTCTTGCCTGAGAGAGATGAGGGAGTCTCTGTGGCAAGCCAGCCTCCATGTACACTTAAAAATATTCCAGGATTTTTCCTGTATTTAATTGAATTTTTTGCTTCTGAGGCTGGAGAGAACAAGAACAGTTACCCTTGTCAAATCCTGGACATTACCTGTGTGTTTAGGGTTCATTAGGGTTATCTGTGCTTGTGAATTGACAAAAGAAAGTAATCTGGTTCACATGGGCAGGTCTGGGGAAAGAACTGCTGTTTCCCTGACTGTCAACCAAGATTCCTGTGATGGTCTTTGCAGGCACTTGGCACAGTTATGTAGTAAGGGCTAAATTCTGCTTTACTCTTAAGACGTAGGTTCAACTTCTTTATGAAGAATAAATATTTTCTTCAATTTTGCTACTTTATGTTTTCTACATAGAATAATTTTTGGGAAATTTGCTACTGTGATAATTAATTGATCCATGAGTTAATGTTAATTAGGGAATAGCATTTAATTCTTTTTTGTTACAAGTCATGATAATTAAAATTTCTAAATGAAATTTGGAGTTGGACATTAGTACACTAAATAGCTATGAGGGTTGCTTTATTGTTTAAAAAAAAAAATCACAGGACTGAAAAATGTCTTGATACAGATTCAAATTGATCTGTTGAGAAACACAAGCAAAAATGATGCTGTTGGGGAATGGCCATGATGTTGGAAATATAATTATACTATGTAAGTGAAAGATTGTTTTATACCACAGACCGAGGATATTGGTTAAGATTCATACATTCTGATACTCATTGAAGTGAGTTAATTCCATACAAAGTTTTCTGCTGTGTGGGTAACCCATTTTGTGGGGTAGTGGTATTTGGTTCAGGTAGTTTTCTGTGTTGCTTGTTCAGCATTTATTGAGATGGTGTACAATATTCCTTTTAAGATTTTTCAAAAAGTATAGTAAGAACTGTTGAGTCTCTTCAGAAAATGCAGAATTGGACTGAATTGAGGTTAATGGTTGCTCATGGAAGGTGAAGCCTTTAGGGTAATACAGCAGGTGAGTAGGTCACAGTGTTCAAGAGCAGCTCTATTTGATTTGCAATTAGAGTGTAGAAGTGTAAGTTATACAACTAGGAGTGAAACCCAGAGTTAGTTTTGTTTCATAATGTTTGAATGTTCAGACATTTTTTTTTTATTATTATTAATAAAAGATACACCAACAAAGAGATTGATATCCTACGCCAGGTGTTAGAATTAGAAACAGTCGTAATAAAATGGAATTAATTTTTGGCTGTTGAAGAAAAGCCTGACTGATTTGCTGTGTTTCTCCTGGCTGTGTGAAATCTTTCACAGTGCTGAGAATTTGTTGGTGAAAGGATTATTATTTTTATTATTATTATTTAAAGCCTCCGTGAGCACACATATGCACTAACAGACCATTTCTGAAGCAAAGGTCCCTCACTTTACTTTTCTTGGCAAATTAATCCAGAAAGATTTTTAACAGATTTCACATCTCTTTAAAGAATTTTTTTTTCTTAAATTGTAGTGTAACCAGCATCTCGATTAAATGCAAACTTGCTGTGAAATTTGTAGTCTTTTTACTCTTTTTCTTTTTTTAAACAGTTACTCAGTTCCTATAGGTCTGCACGTTTTAGTCCAACTGAATCAGTTACATTGTAGTGCACAGAAGTTTGTCATGTTTAACTTGTGCTATTTACCTTTTTTTTTTCCCTGTAGGTATATTCGAATTGTTGGGACCCACAACACAGTGAACAAAGTTTTCCATATTGTGGCATTTGAATGCATGTTCACAAACAAATCCTTTACTCTTGAGAAAGGTCTGATAGGTAAGAGATGAAACTATTTTCCTTTTACATGAACTGTTGCAAATGCTTGTCTTTTAAAGCTGACCATCACTGCACTCTTGCTCCTGTTTCCACACAGAAATCTCTAATTTGAGTTAAACAATGCTGTAAGCATAGAATTAGTTGGGCAATCCTTGTAACTTCTTTGAAATTCCAGTTTTGTGGATTAATTAATGATGCTGCAGGAATGCTGAAGTTCAAATTAAATCAACTGCTGCTGACAAAGCTACTGGTAATTGAGTCACTCTGTGCTGACAGTCTAATTTTTCGTTGCATGTCATAGTATGGTTGCTCTTTCCTCCCACTCAGTTAGCCCAAATTCTTTTACAAGAATGGAGTAACCAGAGCTATTTATTGCAGTGAAGATGGATTTGGGCATTTAGGGACTCTTATACAGCCTAGTTTCAACTGCTGAAAGTAAACTCTCATGTGTTGATTTTCCCCCAAAGAGTCATAGACATGCTTAGCCGTGGCAGAACGTTGTATTGGCTACTATTATTCTCAGAACACCATGTTGATGGAACTCTGTTAGCTCTGGACATCTCATATAATACTGATTTAAGTACCTTGACATTACTTAAGGTAGAAATCCCCAGCAGACCAACACTACTGAATGATAAAATATGTCACAGTAATATCTAATACCAATTTTTTTTAATAGTTCAGAGTGGCTTGTGTGCTTTCTTCCATTTATACTCATGGAATTCAGATCCTGAAGTTTATTGGAAAGAGTATTATGTGCCTTTTAGTATTTGTCTAGATGGGATTTTACCCAGTTTATTAATTCTGGCATGAAATTGAGAATTTCAGCAAAATTCTCAGAGTTCATGCTGATTTGAAATATATATATTTAAAGTATGCACCTACAACAGATGGAAAGGAAAACAGTTTTCAAAATAGGATGAGACATGTTTATTTTTTTTCCTGAGAAAACTCTAATATTTACCTGTGAAAAACTGAGGTACAACTCTTTTCAGCCTGTTCCCTATGCATTATAAAAAGGCATTGAACGGTTACACTTGATCTCATGATGTTTGATGTGAAATTTCATAATGTTTCTTTGGAAGCATAGAACGAAGTAGCCTGGCAAATCACACTTTACTGGTTTTTGTTATGTAGCCCCAAATTGCATAAGCTGTCCAATAATGCAGATCAAATCAATCCTCTTTGTTTTAGGCAGTTTGCAAGTAGCATTGCATCGCAAGTAGCATTGCAATTGCTACTGACAAGAAAATAGAATAAGCAGTAAGGAAGAACTGTGTTAAAAGAAAACATCTACCTTCAGTAAGCTTGTTAGCAGAGAAACAAAGTATTTGAAGTTTATTAAAATTTTTAAGTTAAATTTCATATTTAGCACTGCCATATGTGAATTTTTAAAAACTTCAGACAAAATCAGTTACTGTGTGCAAATACCTGTTGCATATGTATGGATTTGATATCAGATTATCAAACTTAATTAGCAAATGGCTAATTTAGGACTCAAATAACATATTTGCTTTCCTTTTTTTTGTATTAACACAAAGTTTGTTTGTTTGTAACAGTAGGCAAGGCAGTGAATCCATGCATGTTTGTAGAAGTGTACTTGTACTGTAATTGACTCATTCTTCATAGACTCAGTTATATTTCCTGGTTGAGTGATCATTTTGGTGAGATGAGCTATTGATCTGCTTTAGCATTTCATAATTTTCAGAGGTAATCTAGGGTATGGAGACTTCATATGGCTTTATTAAAATTTCTCAATTTTTGAAAACATTTTTGTGGTTACAGAGTCTTACTGGTAAATAGGGTTTGGACAGCATACTACTATCCATTGGTATGAGTGGGAATCGGTGGAACTACGCTGTTGTTCAGTGTGGGTCATAAGCTGTTATATGTGGAAGTCATTTGAAGTGACCAACAATAAGGAAAGAGAGGCCTGTAGGTCTCTCACAGCTTTTTATATTTAAGGGGTGGTAGTCAATACAATTAATAGAAAATTAAAAGTAAGAATTTAGTGAGTAGTTAATTGAAAGCAGGATGTGGGCTGTCCTCCAGTTGTAAATGAGGCAGCAACAGTTGGATACATGACCCTGAAGAATTTATGGTGAGAAAGGTAGAAATTAGAAGAGTTAGGGGTTAGTTGAGAGCAGTCCAGTTGTGAAAGAATGCAGGGGCATAATGACTGTTCCACCAGAATTTATGGCTATCAGTATTGCCTATTCAAAAATATTCTCAACAACTTTGATCCAGCAAAGTAACCTTATATCCATTTAATGCTTTGTTTTCCATACCTCTGATGATTACCATCAGGTACCATATTGTCTGGCTCCTGTGATCAAGCAGACTGTCCAAGGTCCACTTCTGTAAAAACTCTGTAGAACTACCAGTGGTGTAGTTAGCACAGATTTATTTTATTGCTGTGATGAGAATTTTTAATGTTTATTTCTGTTTCTACAATTATGGGCTAGGGTAAAGTGAACTGAAAGCAGTTAGGAAAGTTCCACGAAATATATGAAAGTATAGTATTCAGAGTAGGTTGCTTTTAAGCTTGACTCAGTATAGAAGCTTTCATCTTCAACCCTTGAAAAGCAGTTCATTGGGTTCATTGCTTATCCCATATGATATTAAATATGGTATTAAATTAGGTTAGAACAAATACAGCTGCTGTTTCTATAAGCTGTTTTATTAAAAAAACGAAATATTGGTCAGCCCTTGAAGGCCATATGGCCCTTTTCAGAAAGACTTTGTGACCCTTACTTGTACCAAAACAACACTGAAGATAATACGCAGAGACTTTGCTGTTTGAAAACTCATTCCAAAGAAATAAGGCCTCTGAGGTATTTGTTTAGGGATCTTATGTGGAGACTTCAGAGTAATTTTTTTTTTTTTTTGAAAGCTATCCAACTTGATCAGAAAGCTGTAGGCAAAGAGGGTAATTTTTCAGCCATATTATTACTGATACATAGTATTTATGTAATGGCTGTCACTGTACAGTGACGATTAGAAGGCTGGTAAACAAATAATAAAAATGAAGTGCTGTTTCATGATAACAATTTTGTTGTTGTGTTTTTGCATACAAGGTTTTAATGAAAAATTATTAACTTGATATATTACATTTAAAAGTTAATGTGGAAGATGATTTATGCGGTTACTTTACACAATACTGGATATGGTATCAACATGACTCAGTCGTAGCTGAGTAGTAGTTTTGAAGTAAAAGTAGCAGAAAATTCTCTTTCTAGCACTGTGTGGTGTTTTAGTGTTGGTTTATGCTTTGCTGTCTCGTGGAATGAGGCAAGTGACAGAAATGAATTCAATCACATGAAATTATTCCCTAATGCAGATGTTAGGGTTGAGTTGTAATTTTCTATTTGGCATAGTATTATCTCTAAATGTGTGAGTTAACAGTTTTACATATTAAATTCATGATATTGGCATGACTTTAATTTAACAAGGATGTAAATATTTTTTAATCTCGAAATCATAGTGCTTGCTTTTAATAACTTCTACTTCTAACATTTTGAATGGTCTTTAGACACTAATATTTAATCTGGAATGCAAAACAAAAGAATGTTTTCACAAGCAAGAGACATACTCCTTTGGAGGTAAAAGCAGTACTTGGTGTGTTGTGATGTGTGTCTGCCCAGTGGCAAGAAGTTAGAACAGCTTCTGTGCAATACCTACTTTGGTTTCTGGGGTTTTTTCCCCACCTAAATATAGGAAACAATTCATCTTTTCTGCCTCAAAGGGAAAAATTTGATAACCTCACTTAGTCCTTTAATCACTATTCAGTGCTGAGGGACAGTCAAGGACTATGTGGGTGTGTGAGTTTGACCAACCTACTGGCCAATTTTGAGCCTGGCTAAGGTCATAGGAAGTGCAATATGGGTGGCTTGTACATGAAGTAGTGTTTGTCTGTAGTCTGTCTCAGTCTATCAGACTGTTTTCGAACTTCTGCATTACAGATGAAAGGGAGAACAGTGAATAATGACTGAAAAGCAGAAGATGGATATAAAGCAATGGAATGTCCTTGGTCACCCTTTGGGGAATGCTGTTCAGCACTTACGAATCACTGTAAACCTTCTTTTTTGTGCTGTACAATGCCTCAGGAGAACTTGTTTTAAAAGGGAAAAAATACGAATAAACATTCACTTGTCTTTGGCAGTTATTTGAAACAAAACAAAAGTAAAGTAAATGTGTAACAGAGAGAAACCAGTCATATCAGTTTCCTAGTGTGTGGTTCAGCTCTGTAAAAGATTGCTTTGTCTCTCTCTAAGGAAGCAGTGAGAGATGCTATTTTTGTGTCTAGTTTAATGTTGACTCCACACAAAGCTATCATATTTTGGTTTTTTCTCTTTTAAAAAGGTTAACATTCTTCCAAAATGATGCAGGCTTACCCAGCAGTGTAAGTCAGCTCTGCTACAAGCATAGCCTTAGGAAATTATGAAAATTTGAAGATGATCTAAATACTGCAGGGATTTTTTTTCCCCTCTTTCTACAAGGACAGTCACGTGATTGGTTTAGTTACTGGTATCTGTTTTTCAACAGAGTTCTGTTCATATGGTTCCAGTTCCTTTTTTTTTTTACTTTTTCTTTTCTTTCTATTTTCAGTGCTGCAACAAGGGATATGTACTTCCTAAAACAATTGTTATTTCTGAAAGCCTTCTTCAGGCATAATGTTTAATGAAAGAGCCCTGTAGCAGCGTATTGGTTGGGAATTAAAAGTATGGCCAGTTTAATGACTTGAATGCTTTTCTTCTAATTTATTGGATCAGAAATCATGAGCTCTAGCAGATATCATGTGAAAAATCATCCTTCTCTGAAGTTTTTTCAAATCCATAGACAAATATTAATGGGGTCTTCTTTTCCAGATAAATATGGCTTGCAGAAAGCATTTCACTGAAACAGGTGGAAATGCTTGTTGATATTTGTTTGAAGTTGATATTTCCTAAGCTCTTGATTTCTTGATTAAGGATTCAGATTAAATGTAGCAATTCCATCAG